CGTGCGTAATTCGATTTGATCTATCTGTCGCTGCTACACATTTTTCCTAGAAGCAATATAATAAACCACCACGAAGCTGTACATTTTTCTTCGTCGAGCTCCCGTAAGTTAATTTTCCGGTTTATTGCGCTTCGTGTTTCCACTTGTTGTTGACACTTTCCTTCTATATAAAGTCAAAGTTTAATAACGGCGACTTAATTACCCGTTAGTCAAAAGAATAGTTCAATTAATTTCACTCTGCCATAAACTTGTCGTCGAATTTAATTCGAAAAAAATTCCAATAACAACGTACCTTTGGATTAAAAGTATATTTTAGAGGACGTAAAGAATGGTTTATACGGACAGAAACATCTGCTTTTTTATTGGCTTCGGTCACTAAAACATTAAATTTACTATTTAATAATCATATAGAAATTGGCTCCTAAACGACAAAGGAATGAGTTTCTTTTTATTATTTAATGTTTATATAATATTTAATTATATTCTTTTACAACTGTAGGGATTGATGTGCAAGGGCAAAAGATTAGTATGCTTAGATTTGCAGATGATATAGCAGTATTAGCATCTAGCAAGGAGGACCTAGAGACAGCTTTAAATAAAATGGAAGCGGTACTGACAGATCAGTACTGCATGAAAATAAATAAAAGTAAAACTAAAATACTAATATGCAAGGGAAGAAAAAGTAGGGAAAGAGCGAATATAAAGATAGGAGACGAAAAATTAGAAGAAGTGACTGATTTTAGATACCTAGGAAGTCAAATAAGTGAGGATGGAAGGAGTAGTAGGGATATAAAGCAGAGGATAGCGCAGGGTGGTGTAGCCTTTAACAAAAAGAAGTCACTTCTATGCTCGCGAACGGTTAAATTAGAAATTCGAAAAAGGTTGTTAAAGGTGTATGTTTGGAGCACGGCATTGTACGGGTGCGAAACATGGACAGTGGGCGCGGCGGAAAAGAAAAGGTTAGAAGCGTTCGAAATGTGGTGTTATAAGCGGACGATGAGGATATCGTGGGTAGAAAAGGTTAGAAATGAAGAGGTGTTGGAAATAATAGGAGAACAGAGGACTCTATGGAAGTCATTAAAAAATAGGCGAGATAGGTTGGTAGGACACCTTCTTAGGTATGAAGGTCTAGTTAGAGACATATTAGAGACAGAAACAGGAGTTAAGAGGGGTAGAGGTAGACCTAGATTAGATTACTGTTCGCAAATAGTTACGGATGTGGGCTGTTCTAGTTTTAGGGAAATGCGAAGTTTAGCTCAGGATAGGAAAGAGTGGAGGTACGTGTCCAACCAGTCTTAGGACTGACGACCTTATGATGATGATATTCTTGAATTCCCAATAAATTGTCTCTTCCTCCAGCTTACTCGAGTAATGTGGTTTGCCTTTTCTCGTTCTGGTACAGCAGAGTTTGAAAACTTTGAGATAAACGTTTCTAATTTTCTTCTACATTTTGCAAGAGAAATTTTAAACTACTTACTTTTCTGTGTTCAACTTTTAATGAAATTCATGTTAAAGAAAATAATTAAATTACAAAACCCCGTAGAACACTTTTTAGTTCAATTTATTCATTCATCGCACTGCTTTTACTTTTAGATATTTTTTATTTTCTATATGTAAAGTAATCCAAAATTAAAATCTATTGTAACAAGACGAGTACGTGGCAAAGCTCAATAAGCCTTTTTCGTTAAATTTCCGTCATTACTTTCCGCATTTTTAAATATATTTACATAGGTAAATTATTGTCTAACATAGGGGTCGGTTATTTTTCATGGTAATTGTTCTTATCTTTCTCGCAGTACATGCATCTGCTTATACCACGATAACACAAATGATTAACACAGCGTGAGTTGTAGCATAGAATATTGGAATAAGGCAAAAAATGAATAAAATTTCCTACAATTCCCTTTCATGTTCAAATATTATCATATTATTTCTTTTCTGCTCTGTCACTGAAAAGCTCTGATGGTCATAACTGACATCAGGACATCATCAGTGCTATCATAAATATCCTTTGACATCCCTCATCAGAGGTGGGAAGAACTGAATGTCAGACTGAGCCAAAATATGTAGGATTATAAAAGCAACTATTTTGCTTCATACCTAAACAGTATGCGAATATTGGTTGGCTTGAAGGGTATGATTCAAATATTACTTTATGTTTTTAGTGTGTATATTAATTAAAAAAAAAGGACGGTTGATATAATGCATTAATCAATGTTAATTAAAAGAGATTCAGTTGAAGTAAAACGAATATATTTAAATAATCACACGTTTGTTGTTACAAAATAACCAATCAAATGAATCTCCTACCACAAAATTTGCAGATTTATAATTGCAAGTATTTCGCTCATAAATTTGCATATAAATATTCGTTAGGTTCAAGCGATGATTTCAATGAAGGATGACGTAATTTCTGTACCTACTTTTATAAATGACTGTGTTTTAATTTTACTAATGGACGAAGTTGGACGATAAAACAGCTACCTACTTTAAAATTAATCTCTTGAGCATAAACCTTAAATCTCATAGTAAACCTCATCTGCGTTTTCGAAATTTATCGTGAAGCAATTAAGTTAAGCAGATGAGCTGTTACTAGCAGGATACAACCGCATCCTGCACTTGTAATTATGTCACTTAGATCTCTAAAGATGCATAAAACTTTTTATAAAACCACCTTCACCTTCAGTGGGTAATATTAGTACATAGCTGAAGTTATTGCTTCAAGCTAGAGTTTTTTTGTAATCAAACTATTGTTGTAGTTCGTTTTTTAATCAAACCTTTTTTATTGCCTTATAATTTTCATATTAAACTTGACGTTTAGAAATTCTCGTGTCCTCTTCAGTCATCAGTTTCGGTCAGATTTTTGAAAAAAAAAAGACACCCCTACTTAAAAGAATCGGTAGTAAAAGAATGTTTCTCACAAAGACTCCTTTCTTTAAATTTTCAGATTAGCAACTTATTTAATTTAAGTTTTTTTATTAATGTTATATTTACGACTTTCGATACCTTTTTGTTATTTGCAACACGATTTCGTTAACACAATCCCATACTTTCAGCTGTCTAATAAAAAGGAAACTATCCATATAATGGTACCATATTTATAAGGATTAGCTGCTCGATTTTTTCTAGAAAGGGCTACATACGTTTTAGTTCACATTGTAATAATATTATTAATAAAGTAGGTCAATATGAAACAAACATTTAAGTTAAAAAGATAAATATTTTAGTTACGTTTACGAATTTTGTGGTTTCGCTGAAGTAAATTGTATTTTTTTGGAATTATCCAGATTAATATATTCATTATTGTTCTTATATTCAAAAATAGTAGTGAAAATAAATCTAAAGCTATTTGTTTATATGTTAATCCTTTGTCGAGTATACATACATAGGTATATAGTATGATTCGAAAAATTACATGCAAACAAAAGCGCATCTTTGTAATATTTTATAGGAAAAACAGGAGTCAAAGTTTAGAACACACTTTTTCAGTAATTTGTATTTGTTAAAGGAAATTCTGGGTTCAGGTTGTCATCGATTTTATTTTACCAGTATATGGGAGTGACATTGTAAACACATCGCTGAATGTAAACCGTTCCTGTCTTAATAGATTCCATCGATTTTTGAATTTTCTACTAAAAACGTCTTCTTAATTATTAATTGAAGAAAGCTAAGATCTTCATTAGTGAGCTTTCTAAAAATTTAAATTTTTAATGATACCTCTATTATTTGAGAACAGTGTAAAATGAGAGGTTAAACGACGAGAGATTGCTCAAATAAATCCATTCGTTAAAAAAGTGAAGCAATGAACTTTGGCCAGTTTATTTAAGCTGTTAATCTTTTAAATCCTTTCAAGTTTTATTAGGACCTGTAATACTGATTAATTTACTTTTAATTTATCTTTAGGTTTCATTTTCCTTTTTTTTTTTTAAATGAAATTTTAAACGGTAAAGAGTAATTATTTTAAAAAAATGAAAACGCCAAAACAATTTTCAATGTTTACTTTACTTTATTCATTATTCAGTAATAATTTTGATTCTTTTTTACTTTAATGAAAAAATATAAACATTTTTGTCGAAATGATTAATTTCTTCTCGTCAGATTTATTTAGGAAATGCGTCAGTTCTATCATGTAAGATTAATATCAAACAGTTTGATCAAACAAATACCTACACAAAGGAGAAGTGGTCATTTCGTACCTGTCCAGGAATTAATGAGGAAATTTGAAACTTATTTAATTACTTGAACTGAAGTTTCAGAATTCACAACTCAAAATCATTGATTTGAACAAAAATTTCATATTTACGAACATCTTTTAATCATTTTATATGATCAATTTTCATTTTAATTTCTTACATTAAATTGAAGAAAAATCTAAACAATCTTAAACATAATTTATTAAATGATAATTAAAAGAAAAAGAATTACTTACACTTATTTAATATCAGTGAAACATTTTTTTTCGTTATTGCATATAGGAACGGATTGTATCAATAAATCGATTTTGAATACCTGTTATATTGGAAAACCACTAAAGAAGGTTTCATATTTCCATATTTTCGAGGTAAATATTAATTTCAATCGATAAATAATTTTTTAATGTCATTGAAAGGTTGTTTATTATCTATCGTATGTATGCACATGTATGCACGTTAACTGAAAATTACTTTGTGGCTGAAAAAACTGAAATTTCGTTTTATATTTAATATGAAAATATTTACATAATTAAATTGAAAAAAATATTCGTTCATAAACAAAAATTATTATATCACCTATTTACTATTATTCTAGCTTAAAAATATTTTTTTTGATTAAAATTTTATAAATCACATGCAGGACGTACATAAAAAAATATATTGCGTTTTTATTTTATTTCTTATAGCAGCAAATTTAAAAAATATACATTAATAGTTTTGCAATTCCTTTTGATTTGTAATATTTCGTGAAAGAAACTTTTATTGTAAAAGAAAGTGTTAATAATTACTATTTCTTGTTATTTTTACCTGTACTGTTGATGTAAACAGTTGTCGGTTTTTTGTGTGTTTGGAACTTCGCGTCTATTTTCAAAAACAGAACAAAAATGCAACAGCCTGCCAAGGGCGCTTCAGTTCACGAACTAATAAGGGATTCGAAAACGCGCAATTGTTGAGTTTTGTTTTCCACTTTTCTATCCCGGTTGGCGTCGCGTACCAGCGACGACCAGCGTCGTCGTTGCGACCTACAGACGTCGACGCCGATAAAATACTTCTCCAATCGACCGCGTCGCCTACGCACACCAGTTCTTGTCGCTTATCAGCTTGTAGCTCTTCTTAAATTTCATTTTTCTACCTTTCATTATCGATAACACAATTTCCGTAGATATAGCACTTATCAGTTCATCTTATTGATAAGGAGTCATGCAAGTAATTTAGCAAAATTTTACTATTCTACCCCCTACCTATCAACCCCGTATAAGATAATGTAATAGAAGACACAAGGAGAATTTTTATATAATTCTTGTTTAATATATGTTGATAATTTCCATAATTGTGCTATTATTATTGCATGTATCAATACTAACTACAAAAAATCCCAACTCCTTCCTTACCTCCTATAGGACCTTATTAATTCATTTGGCTTGAAACTTTCTATTTTCTTCTAGCAATTAATTATCTCATTAAAAAGAGAATTTTAACGGAATTAAATCAAAAGTAATATTTTTATTTTCTGATATTTCAGTTTTGTTTAAATGAATCACAGAAATTTTAATTTTGGCCAGGAAATTAAATGTGTTTGAACATAAACATCTCGGAGGAAGCATTAGATACGGAAAATGATTAAGATTAAACACAAATCATAATTTTTTTAGGGTATTGATACGTTTCGAGTTTCTTGGGTAATTACTCACCGAGACTGTCTTTCTCTAACAAAAGTAATTAATGATTAATGATGTTAATCATCATAATATAAATTTTTACGCAATGTCTTTTTAATTAATAAATAGATATTTTTTTTTTTCATTTCTTAAAATTACAATAAAAGTAATTTATTGTTTTCTCATTTATTTTTGCATAATGAAGCACACTTATTGTACATAACTGTGATAGGAAAACATTCGGTGAAGGATTGTACGAGTATAAAAATAATTAAATTATTGAGTGTTTAGTTTGTTCCCATTTTTATCAAAACGATATTTAATTTGAACAATATAAAGTTGTTAATTGCGATGAACGTGAATACAAAATATAAATCATTCCAAAAAATACTGGCTTAAAATACTCGATATTATTTTTAAGACACTTTGCTGGACTTAATTGCATCTTAACATTAATTATATAATTAATTAATATAATTACCTTTAATAACAAGCCTATATACTAAATACAAAACCTAAACAAACAAAATATCAAAAATAGTTTCCTGTTTTATAAATAGCAAGATAAGGATACCTTGATATAAAAAAATATGCCGTAGATGTGGTATGTGTAAATAGATATATTATTATTTGTGATAACAAAAATACTTTTGCGTATGTCTTGATGAAAGTTTCCTCGGATTAAATTTAATAGAATAGAATATTATAAGTTATCGTTATCATTTTAAAATGAAATACCTAATTAATAAGATTTTTACATATTCTTGTACCAGCCTTAAAAAGATGACTTAGATATTTAATTAATGAGGTAGGTTACCTCCAACTGTATGCGTTAACAGTTAAAAACGACAACAAAACTTTCCGTGCAACAATTGTGATAACACTTATATGATATATCAATTAAAAAAAAAATAGTCGTCAAAGGACAACTAGCAGATGTGAAACATCGAAATTGACAAATCATTTTTATTGAAGAATGTGAAAATGAAATAAACAAGTCTTTAACAAGACGTTCTTGTTTTTAAATTCATAACGCCGCGGCGGGACTGAGTGCTGACTAGTCACGAGACTGACCGAATGAAGCGTCGTTCTATCGACGACTTACGAAACTGGCCGAATAACGCCTTTTTCAATTGACGAGCCACAAGGCTAGCCAACTAGAAAGTTCTGCGCAAGTGCGTCATCCCGTCTTGCCATACCTGAGCTGATTTTACCCCTTTTAGATGCGCTAAAAGATGTTTCACATCAAAAACATTATAAATTGACGATTAACTATCATACAATCAACAGAAAACCCACTTAAATCTTTTTTTAGATCTTATTATAGTTTTATTCCTTGATTTTAGAATGTTATGTGTAAGTTTTGGTCGATAATAAAACAGTCTAATCGTAAATCCTGTACACAATATGCTCAAAAAATTAAAAAGATGCTGAGAAATGCTAAATGTAATGACTGTATTAAATATATTATCCTCAAAATCAGGTAATGATGTGTTTAATAAGCTGGGGTGGTGACCGTCGTGGTCTGTTTTTGAACTTCTCTCTCTCCCTGAGCGATTTCGCCACTTCTTATGGCTTTATATTTGAGGAAAGTGTCAAGCCCATAAGCCACCATAGCACAAAAGCCAAAGAACTGCAAATATAAATTATTTACTAATTACATAAATAAAGGATAACAGTAATAATAACTTACAGCAGCAACTGCATATCCTTCGACTCCAAATGTTGCTGCTAAGCAGGAGCATATTAGATACATACAAACCATAACAAAACAGTAGAAAAATTCAATTTTCAACCAAGGAATTTTGTACAGCTTCTCAATCACATGGAATAAATAAAACAATAAAAGAATGCCAGTAAACCAAAATCCTGTCATTGATACAGTGTCAAAGAATGAGCCCCTTGAATTCCCTGGGAATCCACTGCATTGTATACAGATGAAGCCAAGCAAATTAAGTACCTTTAAACAAAAAATATAAAAAGAATTAAATATTACACTGAAGGAATTTAAAAATTATTATACTTACAATCTGGACAATTTTTAAAATACCACCTTTAGTTTTAATATACTTTGGGTCATACCGTATATTAGTTTGCACCCTTGTATTGGAGGTAATGGTTGTGGTAGTGGTATGGGCATTTGGAAACCCTGCATCGGGCATTTTTAATACTTCTAAAATAGATATTTATTGATTACAAAAACATATCTATCAAATTCTAATCATTGCACAAAAAGGTCAAGTCCACCACCTGTTCATAGACCAAATTATATAATCTACTATATTATTCTAGATTTCTAAATTTTATATTTAATCAATAACGGTTAAATAATTTCAATGGGAAGAATATGGGGCGTTTAAACATTTTTACACGTATTAAATCATACCTCAAAATAGGCAAACTTTAGTGTATAAAATATGTAGCATTATTTGAATATTTGAACGTGTGAAATTCAAAGCAATATATAGTTTATTGTAAATTTAGGCTATTACCTTGTTTTAGTATTCCTTATCACAATTTACCACCAAATTACACAAATACCTAATTATTTATGCTGTGCAGTATCATATTTTTCCACAAACAAATATACATACCCAGGATATTAGATACGTACGCCAATTTAATCACATTCGGTGCCACTGGTGGGAGGTGACACTAATACAGGGTGTTGTAAATCACAAGGCTATACATAGATATTTCATTAATGAAATTTCTATTTATAATTCGAATTTTTTGAAAATGCCGTCAATGTAATTAATGAATTGCTATCTTTATCGCACTAAATAACAAATAAATATTTTTTTTTAATTCTGATAATTCTAGAGCAATAAACACATGATGTTACAATAATTTGGAGAACACTCACATATATTAATAGCAATTAACGTAATGAACTAAATGAATTAATTATTATTAATATAGAAACAACTTAATGTTCTTTTTTTTTTAATTATTTTTTTTAAAGGAAAAACCTAATGTGCTATAATGTTCTGAAGTTCCACAGCTCTTCTTTTTGCTGGTTATAAGTTTTTATAAAGGTGATTATAAGCATGTTTTCATTAATTTTAGAATAAAACACATTGAGTTCTGGTTTATTCAAATAACTTGTAATAAAGAAAACTTATTATTCACATCAACAAAACTATCTGTTTCATCTAAATAATTACTTTCTATATTGTCATCACTACATATTTGTACAGTTTTATTTTTGTGTTTCCTTCTACGTTTCTTTGTATGAATCACATTTTTCAAATCACATTTTACCAAATTAAATACGTTCTCACTCATCATTTCCACTGCTTTTAAAACATTTGGGCAATCTTTTAATAAAACAGCAAGATAGGATTTAATACTGTTTCTTCGAGTTAAATTAACAGTCATGTTATAAAGAAACGTCCCATCAAAATAATCTGATATTATCAAATCAGGAAATGGACATTGAAGTAAAATATTTAGATATTTCGTATACAAGACAATACTCTGGAGATGAGCAAACGTATCTACAATTTCGATATCAAACAATTTTGAGCTAGATGCCATTCTTGGTTCCATTTGAAAATAAGGAATCAAAGTTTTCATACACATAAACAGTTCCTTTTTCGTTAAAGTGTCGAAAAAATTAAAAATGTCAGAACTACAATGTTCCTCCTTAATTTTAATTTGCTGATATTCAGGTACTGCTTTATTTAGAACTTTCATAAATTTTGCTGTCGACCTGTAAAATCCTATATGGGGATCTATACAATTTAATACTATTGTACATAAAATTAAGGAATAAATATGCCCATATGTGACTTTTTCAGATAATGCTTTGCCCCAGTAGGCTACTGCAATAAAAAATAATTTCCACGAATTAGGAATAGGTTTTAAGTTTTCATTAACATCATCAAAATTAAAATTTAAAATTTCTAAAATATATTTGATACTTGATGTGGATGGAATATGTTGTAATTCTTCTAAAATTGGCACATGTAGATTACAGTAAGGTCCTACATTTCTTTTAATAGCCATGTTGTCTCCTCTTGTAATGAATATAAACGTCTGAACTTTCCCTGAAGTTAAAATTTTATGAATTGCAGATAAAATGGGTACAGATATATAATGTGAACAGCTATTGTAGTAGTTTTCAATCTGTGGAGTACAAAATATGGTGTTTCTTGTTAAGATGTCCATAAAGGCAGATGGATAGCAAAGCTTTCTATACCTTTCCAGAAACCAATCAGGAATATCATTTTCTGTAGATAAATTAAATGAAATTGATACATCAATATTGTCTTCTGATTCTGATGATGTGTCTGATTCAGATTCTGAATGTTTCTCCTCTACTTCTTCCTCAATATTTTCAGGATTTTTTTCTAAATCTGATACAACTTTTAATACATCAACTTTAGTTTCCTCTTCAACTACAACATTACCTTTTATTTTGAAATATTGAAATAAAACACTATGATTACATTTATAACCATTGACTATGAATTTAATTTTTTCAGAGACTGATTTTCTTTTCTCTTTCTTTATTTGAAGTAAGATCTTTCTGACTGCTGATTCTATACTTTCAGTTTGTAACCATTTTACAACACTACTAATTCTTCTTTGCTGCATACTTTGTGAATTTCTTGAATTTACTAATTTTAGCTGAGAATAAAACTTTTCAAAAACACTTTTCTTAATATAATCATTGCCCAGTAAGGTTGCAAGTAAAGGCAGGTTTGATTTTGGCATACCACCAACCGACTTTAGAAATTTGTCTACCTTGAAACATTGGCATTTAATACAATGCTTGGTCGTTGTTGAGGATGATTTTAGTTTAGAAGTATTCATAGGAAAAGTTGTAAAGGGTATATAAAGAATATCAAAAACGTAAAAATCCGAATCGTAACTTAATAGAGGACATGAAAGGTTGTGAGCTAAACAAGCCATTTCATAATCTGCTTCAAAATCAGTGCGTGCACATTTCAATTCCAATCTCCTTGTAATATCAGTAAACACTTCTCGTACAAATAGGGGAAGAAATGTACCACTGCTTTGATTACAACTATTTAGATGCCTTCCTTCTTTTACTTTGTTTACCATCCTCCTAAAGACTGTTTTGAGTTTGCGATTTTCGTAACCACCATCAAAAATTATGATAGGTGTAACGTTACATACCTTTAATATATCAAAGAAATTGTATATAACTTCAGCAAACTTGTCGTAGTCTCCTCCAAAGCAATCGTTTTTTGTACAGTGCCACTTATACAGTTGGCATGCAATGTTATTTCCATCAATTATCAGTTCGGTATCGTGTAATTGAATGTCTTCGTGATACTTCTCACAATTTTGCGAAATAAATGCAGTTAAGCCTCTCACGCCCATTGTACTTTTGTCTTGATAAAAACTTTTCTTTATTAATAATATTAACATTTATAAAACTTCTGGTTTCATAGGTTATATTCATCGAAAAGTTTCGAGGTTATGTTTCTAATCAAGGTCAGGACTGTCAATGTGACAGTTGTTTACAAGGTTATGTTGTGTTGTGAATGTTCTGGATATAAGCACACGCACAAAATTAGTATTTTGTGATGTAAATTTCTAGTCTGTTCATTTTGAAAATGCTATGTTATGTAGGGAAAGTGTCTTTATGCTGTTATCTTGTAACAGCAGTTATATTTTCGGTTTTGTTTCTCAATGGAGTTACTTTACAGTTTCTAAGAAACATTTGGGGGGGTCTTATCATAGGCCCTGCTCTGTATTTTGTTGTAGTGAATTTGTTAATAAAGAATATTTATAGGAAAAATTTTCAAGATTCATATCAGGTATTACTATAATTTTAAGTGGAGTATTTTACTTGATATTGTACTTATTTTCAGGTTGCCGTAAGGGCTTGTTTTTTAGGATTTGCCTTTGCTCTTGGCATTTATGTACATTTGCTTGCACCATGTAATATAAAAGTATTTGGGTGGTATATGGGTGTGATGGCTACTTTTCATTATAGTGAATTTTTAGTAATGGCCATTATTCAACCAAAACTGGTTACAGTAAATTCCTTTGTAATCAATCATAGCATGCAGTACACAATTGCTGCTGTGTCCTCATGGATTGAATTTGCCATAGAGACTTATTTCTTTCCTGGTAATCTCTGGTTAACTTGATATAATTTTGGAAAATTTTTACATTTTTTTTCGTAGACCTCAAGACCATGTATTGGTTTTCCTTATTAGGATTAACAATGTGTATATTAGGCGATTTGTTTAGAAAGGCAGCAATGTTAACTGCAAAGTCTAATTTTAATCATTTGGTAGTCTGTGAAAAATCTGAAGATCATGTATTAGTTACACATGGTGTATATGCCTTATGCAGACATCCTAGTTATGTAGGATGGTTTTATTGGAGCATAGGAACTCAGGTTTGACATTTGTAGTTTGTAATTTAAAGGCTAGTTTTGTGTGACTTGTTTCTTCTTAGATTATTCTAGTCAATCCTTTTTGCATAGCAGCATATACCATAGTTAGTTGGTTGTTCTTTAAAGAAAGGATCCTTATTGAAGAAATAACACTCCTTAACTTTTTTGGGGTACAATACTGTGAATATCAGGAACGAGTAGGAACAGGAATTCCTTTTGTACAAGGCTATCTTTGTGATCTTTAACCATTACTGGTAACAGTTATTTAAGAAGTTGTTGGTAAATAGAACTTCCTTAGTGAAACATACATTGTTTGTACAATACTTTCAATATTTATAATGTCAGTATCATGACAAAGTATTTTCACTATGTGAAAATTCGTCAAAGAAAACTGGTCACTTTTGTGCCAAAGTTGTAGGTAAGCCATCTTTTAACTGAAAGGTTAATAATAAAATAGTAATTGTGTTATTGATAGTAAAGAGTATTTTTATATAATTGCCCTAATGTTTGATATTTTAGTAAGTTTTGGAAATATATTTTAAATTTAGTTTTATGCTTTAAATTCGTGTTTTGTTCACTACTTAAGAAGTGTGAACTGTGTTTTACTAAATGAGTTTTTTAATTTTATTTCTAGACTGACTAATTGTAATTGTTATATTTTGGTAATTGTAAAATGATAATTTCTTTAAATATAAGTTGTGCATGCTTTTTGTCATTAATTGTTCTTCTCTTACAAAAACAAAAGTCGTGTAGTAAAAAGATATAAATGCCTTTATTAGATTTTTTGACACAAAATACAGGTATGAAATATAAAATAAATAACCAACATTCTACTGTTAATTGCAAATATTTTAATGTTATAAAATAACATTTGTAGAAAAAAGTGTAAATGGCAAGAAATTAATTTACATATCACGATTTGCAAAACAAAGAAAGAGATTTTTTTTATGAATTTAATTAATTGACTTAGTTAAATCTAATGTTTATTCATTACCTAAACATCTATAAGTACATACATATAAGATTTTATTTGTGCTTAATTATGGATAAAAAAATGTATTACAGTATTTAAACTTAAGAATATATCACAACCTTAAACGCAAAGTTGGTACTCGTAAGTACTGGCGCTATATTTCTGTAAATTCAGCTTAGAATTTTTGTAAATTATTACAAAATACTTTCGAAAAGTGTAAATGTTTGCTTTGTAATCGGTATAAAAATTTTTAAGTACACTGAATAATGTAGGTTTATTTATTATTTCTGCTTCAGCCACGCAAAAGCAAACTTTTACAATCTAATTTAGTTCGAGTTTTCAATATCAAAAATTGGCAGTAGCTGCTTTCGCTGATATGTTTGTGCTTTTCACGCTTCCAAAAGTTTTATAAAAACTGCAATAAATCGTTATCTAAAAGCTGCACAATAAAATATCAAAATATATTCGTGCGTACTTACGCGACTTCTCTGCAAGTTACATTATCAAGAAGGCTAATTGCACAATAAACACGAATTCAGTATTAAAAGGCTTACATGAGACTATACTTGAAAGACATCGCTATCTTGTTGCAAAATCCACTGGGCGGCCCTTGTGACGTCCCAGGAGGAGGAACAAAGCGCAGTATGACAAACAGTAAGGTCTGAACCTGTTGCAATCTTTTGTACTTTTGCCAATTTGATCGCTTTTAGTACGTCCCAATCGCAGTGTTCTAACGCCGAAAGACACTGTTCTTTCGAAATCTTGATAAAAGATATATATACGTAAATATTAGTACAATATAAAAATTGTACAAAAATTATTTAAATAAGCTTTCATTACAGTTTATTACTTTACCCCACCAAGGTACACAAAGACTACGTATTTTTTAGGGTTTGAGGAAACCCCTGGGGATCGAAGCAATTGAAAACATAGTTTTTTCATTTGAATAAACAATTTTAGTGAATATTCAGTGGTTGTATGTATATTTTAGTGCTATGCCTATTTGTTTTTAAGGCGAAAAATGAAACTTACGTCTTTCCCAAGAACTTTCGACATAATTCTGACTTCATCCGATTCGTTACCACGTGCTCTAGAGCTCGGTTTTGCGTCTGCGAACTCCAGTAGGTCTTCGCAACTAACGTGATGACTTCTCAACTTTTTTTCTGTCTCTTCTGTCGTAAAATTGCTTAAGTTATCGGCAGCTGCGTCGACGCAGTCTTGCTCGAGCGGGATGTGATCAAGTGCAGCCAATTCCGAGTCGATTCGAGCTTCAAAATGATTCGATTCAGTGTCGTAACAGTACTCAGATTTTTTCATACCATTCGCATTGAATTCAGCCGAGCAAATATTAGTTGGAGGAGAGGGAGGTTCCACGCTTGACGGGATGGGTGGTGATGATGAAACTATGGAAACCTGGACAATTTTATAGAAATGAATATTACTTTAACTGATTTATTAACAAGAAAATCAAATATTATGTGGAAGAGAACTACATAAAACACTAAACCCCAAAATTCCACATAAAGCATTTATAAATCTAAAACACATTTCGACGCCCAATGTGTTATTCTCAATCTCCAACAGTAGAAACGCATTTCAGGTTTTAAAATTAGAGTGTTTAATTTGATTATTTAATTTTTACGACAGAATTACTAAAAGTGTATTTAAGTGTTGATACGCATAAAATAATTTATAATCTAATAGGCTTGAAAGCGGCTAATTAAAACAAAAGTAAGTTAAGTGGAAAAGAACGAGTACCTTATCAAGCGTGCGTTGCAATGTTGCAGAAGCGGGAATGATGAGCGGATGTTTGCGAGTGTGACGCGGTTTTGATGTTAGTAAGGTTTTATTACGATCCCGCGGTGGTAAGGGTATGGGATTTTCTTCCTTTTCGCCTTGTTCGATGAGTTTTTGAAAGGGGAGCGAGGACGGTCTACTGAGGATACTGTTGCCATTTTCATTGCTTTGTTCCATTATTGTGCTCGGCTGACTTGTTTGTTGAGGATCTTGAATAAAAATTTCAACTAAGAGAACGCTTCCTCATCCTGTTGCCGAAATATTAACTTACCTGCTTTTTCTTCCTCTAAGCATTCGGGCGGGTCCGGGAATGATCTCCTGTCGCCATGTTTTGTATGACCTATCGTTGGTAACGTAGACGTCCTTAATCTTGGTTTGATCATCGGCAGTTGACCTGAACGAAGCATGCGCAATGGATTGCCGACGTGCAACAACTAAACATATTCACAAAACTATAAGCAAAACATTGACCAAGCAAAACACAGCAGCAGTCTTAGACCATACACTCCCAAAGGCAACATTTTATACGATTAAGAACAAACTGCAAACAGTATTTACGTTGGATGCTACCTCTATGAGTATACGTTCTCAGATAGTAGTAGGTTTCCAAGTGTATACAACCTGCTTCTATTTTTTTTATAGATTGTAGTTTTACATCATTTCTCAATTTTTGTTTTAACAAATAATAATCGTTCATGAAAATAAACTTACCTGAGTCATATCTGGTGCAGGGCTTTCCACCAAACTCTGGTAAGCTAACTGTGCCTCTTGGGTAACTTTGGACTAAAATTATGACAGGAAAAGGAGAAGTGAAAGAAAACGAAAAAAAAACTTAACTAAAGAACAAGGGTGATTTGCGGTATCAACGCAAAAAATAATAATGCGAAATGCAAAAAAGCCACTGGCAATTGAATTTTGAAACGAATGATTGTAAGCTTCAGGCTGCAGTTTTAATAAGTATTTATTGTAACATTAATGTCCATTACAAAGGCGACAATTATAATATGTAATAGTAAAAGGGTTACAAAATATCACATGTTTTGATTAAGAATGAAATTATTATTGTGTAGAAAATGGGCGGAGTATAATATACTTATAGACAAATATTAGCTACTTGTTTTGAATTACAGAAAGCCACTATGTTTGTTGGGGACCTAATGTGCTGCTATTTAATGCGGATCACATTATCTAAATACATATTAACTACTTGCTCAAGGGTAATAACATTAACTTTGGTGCTTTTTTTTAATAAGTGTGAAAGCCTTACTTTTGTTTTTATAAAAATGGTTTCAAATTGTAAAAATACTATTTCCTGACTATCCAATTCCATCAATATCAGATTTCGTCTTTTCGGGTTTTATTTGTAAAAATATAAAGAATTATTTACTGTCAACTAATTATCGTTTTTTTGTTTTAAAATTATTATTATTAGGAATTACGGTTTAATTAAGTAGCCTTACAAAATTAGATAAAATCAATTGTTACAAATTGAAATAATAATATAGAACCAGTGATTTTAACATTTCAAATACAATATTAATTAGCAAGGCTTTTCTCAAAGAACTGATCTACATTCTAAACTAACACAGCCAAATTTTAAAATTTTCTAATCGCGGATATTTAATAAATCAAATTACTAATACAGATGGGAAAAATAAAATTTCGAAATGTTCAAGAGCAATATTAACGTAAAGAACTTTATGTAACGTAAAATAAGAGTTTAATTTCTAGATTTTTAACTATTAACTGTGTATATATAATATACTCAAAAAACGTTTACAAACTCGAACTTGAAGATGATTCGCTTGGCTTTTTTCTGGCCGCTGTCGTTGGTGAAAGACCGCTCAACATACTATTTGAGGGAGGAGGAGATCGGCCACCTTTCAAGGTGCCTCCTGGCGTTTCAGTAACCGTCACGTTATTTCCGTAACCGTCTGGTTTTAAAAATTGCATCCCGAGTCTATTTCTAGGCGTTATTTCAGATCGAATGCTATTATTTGATGTTGAATGCCTGCTAAGTCTCCGCCGTCTACGCCAATCTAAATCTACGGATCCTAAACTCAAGCAATCTTCACTTTCGCTCGAACTTGAATTGACATAAGCTTGGGGATTGTACGATTTTCTTCTCTGATTTCTTTCTCGTACCGTTTTGCCATTCTTTTTTGGTAAACTTTCTTGGGAATTGCAATTTGAAAAGCTTAAAGCTCTTGGTCTTTCGGAGTAGTTTCCGTGGTATACGCATGTTTCGTTAACGTAAGACTGATTTTCATATACAAAAACGTCATCGTAAGTCACGTCAGGGGTAATGCTGTTTTCATAAGGGTAAATAAAACTTTTACCACGATCTATGTAAGCGTTCTGATGGTGATATCTTCTGTATGTAGAATGACTTTCGGTTTTTGAATCGCCATAAAGGCTACGGTTTCTATTTAATCGCGTCCGATTTTCTACATATGTTTTGCGTGACATGCTTTCAGATTTCGTTAGAGTGCGGTCCCTATAAGGGTACAAATGACACTCCAACCGATCAGGTTCAAATGATAAATTTCGCATTTTATTCTCGATGGATTGAACCGTACTTTTATGCGCGTTATTATAAAATGGATTACTGGAATTTTGAAAATTATTTCTAGCGGGTTTGGTTTCGCGCAGACTGTACATTGGCGTTCCGGAAGCTAGAAACGGTTTTGAGAGTATTTCGCGTGATTTTGCGAAATAGAATTCAGCCGATGCCTTATCCCATAGGGGCAATCGTAAAGTAGTTTCAGAAAAATCGTGCAACGAACTTAGAGAGCATTTCAGTTTGCGCTATTTCAATTGTAATTATGGTAAAAGGGGCAGATCAAAGAAACAAATTAAACGTAAAATGGATTTCGGTACAAAAAAAGTGGAAGAAGGACGAGTGGTAAAAATAAATAATCGCAATTAGAATGTTTTGTTTAGTGTGTGAGTAAAATATATTATAACAGCAAGAATATCTGCAACAACCTATTCTAGATATTACTGGATTAAATAGAACGTACTATTTGTGCTTTTTGCCATGTATTTTATTATTAATATCATGTTGTTACACATACTCTTAATGAAAATATTAAAGAATTGATTCTCACCTGTAAATCTGGTGTAGAATGGGCTTCCTCTGAGAAGTTCCTTCTCTCCAATACCTTATCATGTTTTTCATGTTCTCCTGATGACGGAAACCTGAAACTAAATTTCCTTTTGTTGGGTGAAGAAGGTGTGGTTGGTGCTGATAAGTCATTCATAGACCGTGTGCTCATTTCGTTCGCCAGCGCTATAGCTGTATCCAATGTTTTCTCATCCAGAGCAGAAATGGGTTTTACAGTTGCTTGTTTTCGAGGCTTACTAAGTTTCTCCCTAAATTTCGTTAAATAAAGTTGTTGATCATCAAAAAATTAAAACAACTGTACCTCAGTTCGTTTGTTTTATTTGAACCCTCGTGGTCTGCAGGGGAAGGTGGTGGCTGCCCTAAACTGTTCAGCATCATCTCCATTTCGGCCATAAGAGAAGGTCCTAAATCCAAAGCTGGGCTATTAGTATTTTCGTCATCGCTTATTTCGTGGTATTCGTGATCGCTGTCTGGTGCGGGAGGTAACGGTATGTGATCACCTTCCAGCAGAGGAGCTGCCTCCAGGTCCTTGTGAGGTCTATATGGAGTCACCACTTGAGTAGGAACACCATTATACTATAAAGAAATATTTTAAAACCTGACAATGAAAATGACTTAATAATCGTTCCATACGTCTACTTTTGAACCTCCAAGAAAACTTAAATCTCCGAAATAGGCTCCATCCAATCCTACGTGTCCCGTGTGCTTTACTTCTCCTTGAGGGGCACTAATCATTTCACTACGGAGTTTTCTGCGAGCTGAGGTCCTAGTGGTATCTGTACGAATCAGAGATGAACCTGGCAGATCACTTCCCAAATAAGCAACGACACTGACGGGGTCGAAAAGGCCGGTCTTTCCAAAAGCTGACACTCCCTTCCATAGGGGACGGTGTGTTCTACATTATATACAGAATTATAAACCAAGTTCTCAAAAAGTAGTCTTAATTAACTCTTACACTTTATCTAAAACCGTTACAACATCTCCAATCCTAAAAGAGAGCATGTGGGGTCCCTCTGACGAAGCGCTTTTTGTTTGAACTTGTTCGGGCCTGCAATCAACCAATCTGCTGCCCAAATCCGCGAATCGGGGTCGCGTTGCAGCCTCATGCCTCCAACAATCGTTCATAATCGCGTAGTATTCTTGGGGACAACAGTCCGGCTGTTCCAATCGCTGGAAATTAGGTTCATCAATCGCCTCTAAGATTTGTTGGCCGGTTAGAGCAGCCCATGGTTGAAAACCGTACGAAAACATTTCCCATAGTGTTACTCCAAAAGCCCAAACGTCACTAGCAGTTGTGAATCGTAAATAACTGATGCATTCTGGGGCACACCATGCTATTGGCAGTTTTAAATTGACATTAAAGTTTGTCTGGTAATAATCTTTGCCTTGGCCCAGAGCCCTGCTGAGGCCAAAGTCGGATATTTTGACTTTATTTTTTGAAAATACCAGAATATTTCTAGCAGCTAAGTCCCTACAACCAAATATATTTTTATTTAACATTGACTTGCAAAGATTTGTCTATATACCGGTGAATCAGTCTTTTGGCTTCTAAGTATTGCATCCCATCGCAAATTTGCACTGCAAAATCACAGAGAGTAAGTACAGGAAAACTTGACCTAAGTGAAGGCTCCTTGAGGCATTCTAGAAGTGAACGGAGTGGGGCCAGCTCTGTGACCAGCATCAGACTGCCTGTATCTAAAACCACTCCAAACAGTCTAACTATGTGTGGATGATCAATGGAATGCATTATGGCAGCTTCCTATAAACAATTCTTTTTGATAAAGAAACATTCAAAAACTGCTGTATCAAAACATACTTTTAAAAACTCAATAGTGTTTGTTTGCATTCTTTCTCTTGCTAAACATTTTATGGCAACTTGAATTCTTTCACCTTCATTGGACCACACCCCTTGTTGTACCACCCCAAACTCTCCCATTCCCAGTTCTTTATTAACTGTAATATTTGCTGCAGGAATGATGTGCTTGCTAGGAACTCGTGGTGACTTTGACAGAGTCAGATTTTCATTACTGCTTGTACTATTTGGGTCTGGACATGGTTGGTCCTGTTTACGAGTGCTCAATAGCCTTTTAAACTTTGACAAGTAATTATGTGGGAAATTTTTCTCATAATATTTGCGAAGTCGACGAATCTCAGGCTTAGACAAGCCCAATTCAGCCAGGTCCTCATCTGTAGCAAATTTCAACTGTGAAGGGTGAGTCACTTTCAAATCATTTCTGAAAGTTCACAAAAAAAATTATATGCTTTGTTTATATAAGAATAGGTAAATTATCATTAAGTTTTTAATTAAATTTTGTTTTAAATGATAAGTCAATGACATGCAGCAAATGTTGAATTCTACTGGATACTTACTTAAAACTACTGAAGTAATGTTGTAATTCTGCCTCAACCAGGAATTCATACAGACCAGGGCCTTTTTTAATAGGTGCACTCATAACTACGAATTTTATTCTTTCCTTTAACGCCCAAATTACCCCTAAAATATAAACTGTGCTGAAGTTTGGCTGTAAGGCGTGGCCTCATAAACACATTAATTTTTATTTCTAAATATAACTGCAAAAACTTTGCAATGCGGAATTATTTATAGCTCAAGCATGTGTACAATATAGCATTCCATCTTGCCCAATTCACCAAATAATGAACCAGAAGATATTCTGTTTTCACTGTTTCCTCAAGTTGCTTTTACAAACATATACATTCTCTGTTATATGTTTTTAAAATGATGTATTTGTTTATTGTTCTAAAACAAAACACACATACAAATATGCTGATAAAACATTTTAAATATTTATTTATTACTTATCATGACACTGAAGTCACTTTACTTGACAGTTTAAAACTTCTTGGTGAATAAACCAATTAAATTCTTGCCATTCCAAATACATAAATCACCTGGTTTGTTCCTTTTGAAACTAATGTAGTGTTTAATGTATACGAATACATATACAGAAACGAAAATCTTCAGAAATAATGTTTTTTAATAAACACTTAAACTGCAAGAACAATCAATAAGTTTACAATAAAGGAATTGTAACAAATAAAGAAATTGCATTTATTTGCAAAATCAAAATACCACAGAATATGACTTGTAGTACAAAGGCTCATTCAGGCCCATTTCGCCCGTTCCACATTTCTAACGTTTCTAACCTTTTCTTTATTCCCCAAATAATTTCTAAAACAATTTATCAGATTTTATTTTGAAAGTCAATAACAGAAAATTAATAAACACGGGGGTATTTAATATCTAAAGTTATGGTGTTTACAACAGTGGCTAATTTTGTAAGAAGTAGAGGTCCAGATGAATTTTGGAGAAAACGAAAAATACTAAAGCTTGCAGCAGTAAGAACCTTTTAAATTTAACTTTTGAATCGATAAAGATTACTGCAATATTTTAGCATTACATAGGAAGGAGAAGAAATTGCTACAGTATAGCAATTAAAAATGTTCATCGTGCTCTAGTGTATGCCACAAAACATCGACAATTGAGAAAAGAGAATATGAGACAGGTAATTTGTAATAGTTTCCATTTAAATACTTTTCATTAATTAGAATTCTAGTTACATGAAACCAGAATAATTGCTGGTTGTGAACAACATGGTATAAGCTACAAAAACTTCACAAATGGTCTTATGAAATCTAATGTATTACTAAACCGTAAATCCTTAGCAGATTTAGCAGCTTGGGAGCCTTTTACCTTTAAAGCTTTAACAGATATTGCAAGGCAAAAATGCGTTGAAGATGGTGTAAATATTGATCTCAGTCCTCAAAAGTCAGTAGATGTTATAACAAAGGGAATGTTAAAATAATTATAGCTTTTTCTGTTATGTAATATTTAGTATGATACTAAGTGTTGTATTTTTAAATACACTATTCTTTTTTTATCTATAATCTCCCTAGGTATTAAAAAGGCAAAATGTTGAATAAATTCAATCCAAGCAAAGTACTATTTTGTAAAAATTTATTCACAATGAAAAATAACTCTAACAACAACTAGTACAGAATCATACACAACTTAACATACACAAATGCTTTTAGTAAATGGTGATAACTCTAAAAGCATTTGTAAAGTTTGTAAACATCAAGCAGATCATAAAGAACTAGTGGAATTATTGATGTTACAAAATGATACATTTACTCAAATGCAGAAGTTACCATTACTCTACTCTACTTTGGCTAAAATATCAGATTCCCTGTACAAATGGTATTCGGAGTTTTCTTCTATCTCTACTTTAGTACCCCCATATTCAGGGAGGAGCACTTGATCTCCAACTTGAACGGATGGTGTCATGAATTGTCCATTCTGGATAAAAAAGATGAAGAAGTTATATAAATATCAAGAGGTTAATCCAATTTGTAAAGTATACCTGGTTTCGGGAACCTTGCCCCACTGCAATCACAGTACCCCTCAGAACTTTGCCTTGTGCTTTATCAGGCAAAACAATTCCTCCTTTGGTTTTGCTGGCTGCTTCTGCCTTTTTAATTAGGACTCTGTCAAAGAGGGGGATCAGTCTTTTAATAGCCTGAGCAGCCTGAAACAAAATAAAAACTATCATTTATGATGTATAATGTACTATGTAATAACTTATTCATACTCTTTCAGCTTGAGCAGCCATTTCTTTAATTTTAATTGCTTGTTTTCGATCTCAAATCAAAGAAAAACTATTCTTGAAAAACGGTCAATTTGACATGAAGTTAAAACAAATGCAAATCATACTTTCTAAGAAAGCTATGATTTTAAAATACACATACTAAAGGGGTGGGAAACTTACCATGTGTTTTATTTCTTAATTGTATTTTAAACGAAAAGAACCTTTTATTTATGTGCACGTGCTAGGAAAATTCTAGAGATGCCGGTTTGCAGCAGATAAAAGTATAATGTAGATAAAGAGGTTTACGATAAAAAGAGTGATTATGTATTCTTCATGGTTTAAAAGTTTTGTAAATTGAAATGCTCAGTTTAGCTTCCATATAAGAGATGTCGTCAAGTGCACCTAAAATTTTATAAAATTACCAAACATTATTGTAAAAAATTATTGGAGGGGGTAGCACGTTGACAAGAGAACCGGTATTGGGAGGTTATGCTTAATAAAATTGTAAGTTTTGTATTTTTAACAATAATTTATTTAATTCTCTTAATTGCACATATTACATGTACCTATGCTTAGTATTTGTGGCTATTGCCTTTATGATTCATATGCGTTTTCGTTTTTATTATCGTATTTCTACTTCGTGTTGCTGATATACAGGGATTGATCAGATATTTTTAAGACTTCCACACATTTTTTACCATTTACAAACTAATTCACTGTTTATTATTTTCATCAGTTTACAGATTCTACTCGATAATTAGGGCGTTTTATAAATACATGTAATATCGGGTGTATATCGGGTGTGATCAGATTAATTTCGCATGCAAATATAATTTATTTTTTATATANTATGTATATGAATATTAGAGAATACATTTTATCTTGAAAAAAATTACATGTATTGAGATGTAGATAGATACATACGCACATTCACACTTATATTGTATACTGCTTATTCATTATACAAGGTCTATTCACGAAGTTTTTCATTAACTTTATGTTATAAGATTGTTTTGGACGATTACCGGATTATTATTTAATGGTATATTTTCAGGTACCTGTCGGAAGATTTGTTGCAGCGTGCGTAAGGTCAAAAATTATTTTTCGAAAAATGGCGTCGAATGTTAAAGTAGTAGATCGCGTCGGTACGGAACAGAATAAAAAAGACATTAGTGTTCAGTGCGGTAGTTATTTAATAGTCGATGAGGAAAATATAATTGTTTTTAAAAGGACAAGTTCTCCAATTTTTGAACTTCCAAGTGAAACCGAGTTGGCGAACTTACATCAGCCTGTTCCCACACTTAACGAGGCATCATCATTGGCGGAGAATGAGGTAGGATTTTTTCTTAAGTTTTAATATGTATCTTTTCCTATGTTTTTAAATATTTTCGGAGTGGAAAGCAGGGATGGAGAATATCCAAACACCTAATGGATAGTTTACCATGCATTTAAGATTTGACCATACATGTACATATTTACAATGTTGTTTTTCTGATTGTTCTATTTTTTTGTATTTTTGTCATTGTACAGCATTTAGATAAACATATGGAATCCATATTAAAAATTTTCATTGCATCCCAGATTTGTCATACTGGAGCGCCGTCATAGTCATTGTTGGGGTAACGAATATTATGTTTATTATTTCTAAAGTATATTATAATTTATCGCTAATTTGTTGTCAAATCTATAAATTTGTCGCTCCAGCCGCTACTGGAAAATAGACGAAGTGATTGATTTCAAACTGATACTACTCGAAGTTACGCGTATCTTGGAATACAAAATGGCGATCGCGTAGAGAGATACTGTAAGAGCTATGTTTTGTCGCTGAAAAATGGTACTTTTACCCATTTTACCGCTACTATATCCTCTAGCAGTGAAGAGCCGCCAAGTTTCCACTCGAAATGTAAATGGCTTAGAAGAATACATTAAGGGCTGTAATATGTCGCTAATTTGTCGCAAGTTTGTCCTAGAATTGATCAGCGAAAAACGATTGCAAAGCTATCTAGCTGCACTACACAGTGAATTGCGAAATAGAAATATCGTAGAAAAATAGTGACAACTACGGTCCGTACAGTATTTTTCTACGTTATTTCTTTTTCGGTATATCCTACGTGTAGTGTCAGTTTAACAATCCTTTAATTGTTTTTCGCTGATCAGCTCCAGGATGGATTTACGACAAAATATGTAAAAGCACCATCTTTCAGCGACGAATTATAGCCTTTATAGTATTTCTTTCCGCTAGTTCTATTTCGAGATAGTGTAATGAAATACTGTAAGGGCTATAATTTGTCGCTAAATGATGGTGATTTTGCACATTTTGTCACTAGTCTATCCATCAGCTAACCAGCGAAAAACGACTGGCAATACACATAGAGTATCTCGAAATGGAAACACCTTAGAAAAAAGTAGTGTAAGAGCTATAATTTGTCGCTGAGAGATGATGCGTTTCCACATTTTGTCGTTAGTCTATCCTCTAGCTGATTCCAATTTGAAAACTGAACAACTAGAAGATAGACCAGCGACAAAATGGGTAAAATTAAAACTCGTACTTTATTTTTTTACATCATTTTTATTTTGGAATAAGCTGTGCTTAGTGGCAGATTGATATCAGGCTAACATTTCGTCTATTTTCTAGTAACCGGCTGAAGCGACAATGTTTTGGGTCTACTTACAATTATTTAACGACAAATTATAGTCTTCGTGTTAACTTGATATACATATACATTGTAATTTTCACAATTCAATTTGTAGCTTTTCTTCTGTACTGAGCGTATATACATGATAACTCAAAGATGGTCTCTCTTATCTAGAAAATGCAGTCGACTTTTCTCACATTTTAAGTAATAGGTCGTTTGATATGTTTTTGTATGCGACATTTATACCATCAATTGTTTCTATACTCACTTTATGCCGACTAAATTAGTCTGGCTTGCCTTTTGTTTCATGTTATTTATTCATTGTCCAATGGTCTTCCGTGTTACGTATGACAGCACCTCCTATGTACGTTGGTATTGTATTTACTTACCTTTGTTCGCAAGCCAACCACCCCCCCCCCCCCCCCCCCCCCCACCCACCTGTGCACCCCTCAAAGTAGCGCCGTTCGCAAACCCCGCGTTTTGCGCCCCATAGATACCTATTGTTTTCGGCTTAATCTGTTGTTTCTTGTTTCGCGACACTGGCGGACCGTTTCGAGTATTGTGCTCGTAAGTCCCTGTTTCGACGATCCGTCATGTACACGAACATTGCTTTAGGATTAGGTGCACATAAGAATATCCCTGAAAAGTGTTTATCTATCTGTAAATCTACATATATACATATGTTAGTACATATTTTATTTTATACAGGGAATATATTCGAAAAAGTGGTATATCTTTTTCAGGTGGAAAATTGAGATTTACAAAAGTTTTACTTGGTGCTATTATTAAATACCAAAGGTAGGGGAAAGGTCCCTAGAATGAACCATCTATGACAGTACCATTAAGAAATGAAAGGGTGTAATCAAATTTATGCGAAAAAAGTTGAGGGCATTGCTAGGGTTATCACAAAAATATTAGATCGTTCAAGGCAGGTAAAAACATGTTATATTTGGTTTATCAATAAAAAATAAAATCCAAACAAAGTCAGTGGTCCAATTTAGGATACTGGTCCCTTAAATTGGACCATTTCTGTTGTTCTACATTGATGTTCAACATGACAACAGTAATGGCATGCTATAAAACTGAAAATATGACTCTGAGATGAATTTACCAACATTAGAACTTTTTTTTAAACCTATGAGAAATTCTATTTAATTCGACAACGTTAACAATGTCTTTTTAACTGTAACTGATTTGCTAAAGTACATTTTAAATTAGCCTGCAAAAATGTTTTAAGATATTTGCCCCAATTTTGTTGATTTACTGTTGTTGGTTTTTCACAGTAAAGTATTCATTTGTTTGAAGAATTTTTGAAAATTCGTGTTTGGCATAGTCAATTATTAATGTTTATGACTGGTGCATGTGTGGTTATAGCCAGTCATGTAATTACTAAAATGTGTGCAACATGTTCGTGTTTTATCTAAATGAAATATTTATTGCAATAATCCTGTTGTTTGTTACGTAAATATTTATAATTTAAACGATTTGCTTATATGGGCAGTTGTACAGGTGTGCTATAGTATTAGGATTACTGTAACGGTCACGTAAAGATGAATAAATATTTGAAAACAAAATTTTCGTGTAAAACCTGACGAAAACTCATTAAATTTTTGTTTGTATTGTATTTTATCGTCCACGCACAGGAGCTGTTTACTCGGGGTTGATGTTTGATCATTTTTAATATAATGTAGGCAGTCACAAAGAAATGAAATATTAAATTTGTTTGACAGCCAGTGACTAAGTATTTAGAAAATTTATTAACCGAGAAAACGCAAGAAAAAAAATTGGAAAAGTTTTGATGCTTTAACATCACCAATTCAATTTTGATTAATTTTGTCATAAAATTCGTAATTTTAAAAACAAATCCTTCTATTTAAAATGAAAGTTAAGATTAATTAATACTATGTGTATACTACGAAATATCTTCCACCTTAGAGGATTTAGAGAAGAAAACTAAATGTAGGAATATTTTTCTGGGAGATTAGTCGCCGATTTTTCTTCCGAAAGTTTAATCTTGGCCCCTGCTGGGTAACTAGCTATATTCTTGTCAAGAAATACCTTGGTGTTCACCATTATCGCATTAATCCCGGCTCTGTCTGGCGTAGTTACATATTAATGTTTGTCGGACAGTCAAAGAGGACTTGGAACATAAAAAATTCCCGTCATAATTCACCTTTGCACAAACGCTACTGTCAGTTAAACTTGTCTCTTTGGTAGGACGCGGAATATGTTCAAAATAGTTCGGATTGTGTAGCTGAAAACTAGGCGATGTGGTGTGGTACCTGAAATAGTGAAGAACATTTTGTAAAATAACTTTGTACTGATGACTTTCGTTTGAAGAGGGAGCATTTTGGAACATTGTTCGTTTCCCACCGACGTTTAACTAAAAAGCATATACGAGAGCAGTTCAATAAGTACCCGTGTTAGAAATGAAGACATCTTATTTTTAAAAATTTGTTTTTTTATTTTTCAACATAGTCCCCTTTTAGAAAGATACACTTCTCCCAACGACCCTGCCATTTTTTTACCCCTCCAAAAAATAAGATTTGTCGAACTCTCCAAAATCCCCCCTGTCTCGGCGATGACTTCCTCGTTTGAGCTAAATTTCTTTCTCGCTAGTCATTTCTTCATGGTAGGGAACAAGATGAAGTCGCAG